ATTGGAACCTCGATTCAGAACGAACCTCTATATAACGAAGTCCTCGGTGTAACGAACGATACTTCAGTTTCAGCCCGGCTAAAGTTACAGTAAAATGTATGCCACAGAACTTCGATATAACGAACCAATTTCCCCAGTCCCTCGGCACTTTGTTAAATCGAGATTCCACTGTTCCGCGATCGCAAGAGATTAATTCTTTAACCCCTAGGGAGTGACCAGCACCCATTTCTCCTCGCGGTTTTGCCTAAACAGTACAAGAATAGAGAGAATGATCGCCAACCTAAGACGTTGTTGATTGTTAAGCACATTCTCATCGTCGTTATCATAGGAAACCGGAGTGAAAAGAACATTGTTGAGAATATAGACACTGATATTAGGGTGTGTGAAGGGTCATTATAACATAACCAAAGTAAAGCGCGCGCTCTGATTGGTAAATTTAGCGTCCCCCATTTGCCCATGGGTGTACGCTGCTGACGTGAGCAAATGCAAAGACTATTTTTCCGCGCGCGCTTGTTTTTTTCTGGTCACGTAAGATTTGTTAAACAAAAGGGAACTCTTTAGCTACAATGTGTTAATGTTATGTTATAAAACAAATGGTAAACACCACAGCGTACACTATTGAGTTATGGATGCACTTGGGAGGTTTGCTAAGCACTCAAGAAGCTAGAGTCGCTCTCGGCTATCGCCTCGAGCGACTCTTACGCTTCTTTCGTGCTTAGCAACCTCCCGCGTGCATCCATAACTCAATAGTGTACGCTGTGGTGTTTACCATTTGTTAATTAAAACAGGAAAGAATCAATCAAACAACTTACACCCCCTGCCTACTGGAACTTTTAGTTCATTTGTTTTTGTTGTGTGAGGTTCGTGACACTCTATGATCAGTATGTATATTCTCTGTAGTGTTCTCTATGCTATGCATTTCGCACGGTACAGTGCAACCTCGATTTAACGAAGTGCCAAGGGACTGAGGAAATTGGTTCGTTCGAGGGTTCGTTTTATATCGAGGTGCATATATCTTACTCTAACTTTAGCTGGTGTGAAACTGAAGTATCGTTCGCTATACGTTCGTTATAGAGAGGTTTGTCAAGTCGAGGTTCCACTGTATCGACCAGAAAAACATGTTTAACCATCAAAAGCTCTTTTACTTGGTGTTACTTCTATGCGTGGCCTTAACCTGTTAAAGAGGCTTTTGATTTGTTTTTGTTTTTGTTTTTTATTTGTGAATCCTGATTGAAAACAATATGGTCGTTTTCTGTCCACGTGAACAAATGTTTTTAAACGTGACACGTGAATGAAGATCTGAAGTAAACGTGCTATTCGTGGACCATTTCGTTTTGTGATGAATTTCCTGTTATTTTATTGTTTTCATATTGTACGTTTTGTCCTCGAACAGATATGGTTAGGTTTTGACCAGGGCTTTGACTGTACATAGACTTCATATGGATCGATAAAAGTCATGAAACACCACAAAAAAATCAAGACTAGGAAAAGTAAGACCGTTAATTACGTCAATTTGTTTTATTGTTATATGTGAAACGTGATCATCTCGAATTTCGCGTGAGCGTGAAAGAATATTGGAAATTATTTTCGCGATGCACGAAAAGGCCAAATATGTTTCAGTGACTGAGTCTTACAAAGGGGTATAAGAGACTTTCGTTAATTCCTTACATGAGTAAATATATTTTCCATTCAGTTCTGCACACATTTTTTTATGGTACTGAAAAGGACAGTTTGTTCATAAGTTAAGAAGTTCTTTAGTTGGTGATCGTTTCTTTAACTCCCATGACCTCAACGCTTCATTCAGAGGTGACACTTTAAGGAGAAATTGGATTCAAGGTACTTGTGAGGATTACAGTACGGTGGCCCAGAAGGCTCATCGCAAACAACAAATATACTGCAGCAAATAAAAAATATACTCAAACAACAAACATATGAAATACATATATGAACTGCAAATATACTGCAGCAAATAAAAAAAATCAAAAAACGCAAAGAAAAAAGTACCGCAGCAAATAAAAAAAAGCAACGCAAACAAAAAGTACTGCAGCAAATAAAATATGCGACGCAAGCAAAAAAGAAAGAAAGAAAAGGCAAACAAAAAAAATTAGAACGCAACGTCAAGGAAGACTGGGTAATAGTTCTTAGTTTCCCGCCAAAACAGCATTTGGTTATGGACGAAAGCGATCTGCGTAGGATTATAGAAGATTACTTTCATCAAGGGTATGAAAATAGAGTTATTATCGATTTTTTAAAGGAGCAGCATGGTACTCTCATAAGTTCGCTGCAAAATATGGTTTCGGAAAGGCGAACAAACAAAGGATGGAACGAGTGTTGGCGGGAAACTAAGACCTATTACCCAGTCTTCCTTGACGTTGCGTTCCAATTTTTTTTGTTTGCGTTTTCTTTTCTTTTTNTATAGAAAAAATCTTGGTGTGAATGCGAGAAACGAGAGAGTACAGACTGTGGATTGATTGGCCACGTCTATGAAGTAAGTTTATCATTTTAGCATATGAAGGGAAGTTTTCGAGGCTGTCACAGCTTCCACCCACATATCATGGACGATGAATATAGAAAAAATCTTGGTGTGAATGCATGTGGATCAAATGTTCTTTCCTATGTGGATAAAACATGTGGGAAGTCTTGTGAAAAGCTAAACTTGATTCAAAATAAGACTCGTGATTCGTTTTTGAGTTACTGCCTCTAATTTCTGTTATCCTATAAAAAAATATATTATAATAATAATAACGAGAAAAAAAAAAAAAAAAACTATCCAAGACTTGTGAATCCTGGGACATTCAGCAAGATAACATGCCTTTCAAATTACATCACAAGTACATCCATTACCGAAAGATTTGCTCTCAAAAATCCGCTTACAATTTCCTCTTTTATTTGCTATACTTCTCGTTATAAGTTGGACAAAAAAGAAAGCAAGTTTCATTTTTTATTCTCATCACTTTTTCGCTGGATGATTGACATTTATAATAAAGAAAAATTCTACGTGTTATAAGGTGTGAGAGGTACTAAAGGATCGTCTCGTCAATCTCCGTTTTAACTCCGGCTCCGTTTTTAACCCCCGTTCTTCAAAACAGAGAACTAAAAAAAAAAGCACTGAAAATATTCATTGACGCGTGGTTTCCGTTGTTATTTCAAGTTTTTTTACGATTTTATTATAAGAAAAGTGCGAGGTTGGTTCATTTGAAGAATCAAATCGCCGAAGTCGAACATGGCTTTTTACCAAATCGTTGCATCGTTTCACGCCCTTTTCGATGCCATCGGAATTCCAGGCAATTTTTTGGTAATTGTGATGATCGTCTTGGAAGAGAGATGTCATGTGCTGCGGTATGTTTTGCTCGCAAGTCTTGCAGTTTCAGATATTCTCTGTTTGACTCTTGCCAACTCTTTCCGCATCGCGAGCTTAGCGCAACAAAGATGGTTGTATGGACGAACAATGTGTTACCTCAATCCATTTTTTGTGCGTTATTTCTACCTAAACACCGTTTTGCATCTAATAGCGGTCTCGTACGAGCGATACAACGCTATAGTCAAATCCCCGTTGACCTACGATGGAACAATGACAAATTGCAAAGCTACGTTTGTCGCTCTCGTCTGGATAATCCCAATTGCGTTTTCCATCGGTCCGTTCCTTGGTTTTGGTAATTACGTTTACAACCCTGAAGTGTTCTTCTGCGAGCAAGGCTGGTCGGTTCGGGGTGAATCCGTCACTCGAAACATCACAGTGATTGTGTATGTGATTATCTCCTTACTTTTACCTTTTCTTATCATTGTTTTTTTAAACTGGAGAGTCTTTCGAACGGCAAGAACTCTTCGGATTATCTCAGCGGCCAACAACTTAGGTTGCTTTGATGATTCTGATCAACAGCGACAACAAAAAAAACAACAGAATGACATCACGTTAAGGAAGAAGAAAGAGCAGAAAGCTGATGTCGACGTCAGCATAATCATCAGTGCATTTCTGTTATGCTATCTTCCAGGCTGGATTGTAGGAATTATCCGTCAGTTCGTGAAAAACGTCAAAGTTCCAGCAGAGGTCATTCTGATAACAACAAGCTCCTTCTTCGCCAGCTCGGTGTGTAACCCAGTCATCTATTCCATTCGTAAAAGAGAATTCCAAAGAAGATTCATGAGAATGTTTCGACGTACGACAATTCATGAACTGATTTCAAGCTTCGTAGACGGAAACTCGAGTTTTTATTATTATTATTATTATTATTATAATAATAATAATAAAAACTCGAGGCATTTTTCGAGACACAGAGCAGGAACAGAAACCCTCAGTTCAAGAAATCTTCCAACTCAGTTCGGAAACCCTCCACTTTTCTGTCTCTAATATAAGAACTCGGAGTTTATAAACGGATGTTTCTTGTAGAAAAATGACACTTCTATTAATGACCGGAAAGTTAAATACTTGGTTCTTCTACTTTAATTTATTTTATACTCGAAAATATAGAAAGTATATTTCAGTTTCGGCTCATTGGTTTAGTCGTCTATCCAAATAGGTGGGTAAGACTTTTATACTCTTCAATAGTCTTTCTAGGAAAATAGCGTCTTTTAAAAGCTGTTTTGCTTTGGTTTTTTGTTTTGTTTACTTTTCGTTTTCCATTACTAAGTTAAGTGAAAAAAAAACAAAAAACAAAAAAAAACAGCAGACGAGCAAAAAATTATCGCGGAGGGCGCCAACGACACTGGAGCGCGCCAACGACACTGGAGCGGACGAGAAAAAGAATCATCTCCTTTCTTGGCAGGATTGCATCGATGAGCGGAAATTTATTCTTGTCATTTTTGAGTCTATAGAAGAGTATAGTACTGCCATGGAAACTGGAAATTGTAAATGTTTGAGTCCAGAATTTTTGGAATTATTGAGCCACTTAATTGGGCATTCATAAACCATTTGGTAATGATTTACGACCATTTAAAGCATTTGATTTGATTTGGCTTTTGACTCTTTCAAACAATAGAAAGTTACGCTCAATATCACGATATATTAAAATGTTTTTATTAATATTTTCTATCATAGTTCTACGCACTTCTTTTTCAAAACCATTTTCACACTTAAACACTGCGCTCATCATTTTCAAAGGTGACTAAGATATAACTTCCCTTCATATTGTCAATAAATTGTATAGCGTACAGATTTTAAGAAAAAATAAGATAATCACCGAGTGTTTCTGATCACAGAGAATCGACATAGAAATTTAAAGGAATAAGAACTAGATTTAATAAAATTTAAGAGAAGTAAAAACGTAAGAAAAAAAAATGTGCAAAATTAACACACCATATATTTTTTTGGTGATTTCCTGGTTAAAGGTAGTCTTGAAAAGTTTCCTCTGTCGATTTTTTCGTTCTGAGCTATTCATGATCGTAGCTTTATTACTAACTGATGTACATAGGTCACTAACTGCAAAGGGCTTTTCATGAAAGCTCATCTGTGGTGTCCATGGCACTGAAAAGGTTAATGCAGCTCGTCCTATAACGTTGCAAATCACCAAGGTTACCACGGCGCAAGGAAATGACGGCACTCTTGAATTAGAGCAGAACACCAAAATACAATCATAACTGCTCTTAACCGAGGGAATCTCTGACAAACCAAATAATGGGATTAATTTTGCACTCCAGAAGAGACGAAAGGTTCAAAAAGGACACTCGTCTAATGATCCACCAAGCTACCACTTTTTGATGGACTCATCGATCGGGAGAATTCTCTCATGGTTGTAGCCAATTTCTCAAATTCTTCCCACTTGATGGATTCCAAGCTTCGCTGCATTCGAACTTTGGATTCCATATGCGAGCAGCGCGACTCGGAGTCTTCCAGTCGCACCTTGAGGCGCTCCACTTCCTCGTCACGTTCGTCGAGCTAGCATGAAATAATTATAATAATAATAATAAAATAAATAATAATAAATAATTCAATAATAATAAATAATAAAATAATAATAAATAATAAATAAATAATAAAGAATAATAAATAATAAAATAATAATAAATTATAAAAAACATAAACGACGACAGTAAATAAGAACAGTACATTAATGGCACCAAAAGGGTGATTGCTATATTACAGTCTTCTGAATCCTCATGGGATCTCTAAAAAACGGAAGTGACACGGGATTGGCTAGTCCTGTAGCCTCTTGGGAGTGCCTGTGGGTATGATTGAGCGGTTCCGCGGTTTAAAGGTGACATACGCGCGAGGGAAAGGTGAAATAAATCCGCGGTAAAATAAATGAGACCCGTTTGAGAAGACAAGAGAATAAAATGACTGAGTTTAGCTTCTCTAGGTAAATTTCAGCGACATAAGCGCGGGTATGCGAACCAACCAGGTAAAAATCGATACTTTCACGAAAATACACCATGCATAAATTTACTTGTTTCTTTTTCTTTTATAATACCTTTGCGTTTAAGTTCGCTACTTCGTCAGCAAGGAGTAGTTTATCTCTCTTTAGAGCCACGTTCTCTGAGTTAGTTGAGTCTTGGTGTCCTTCCACTTCGTTTAATTCGTTACGAAGTTGAGTTCGCTTCACGTTCGCTAAGAGGAAGACATTTGTGATAGTTAACCCTGTAGGCCTCCCTAAATAAATTCGGCTTGCCATCTGTCCTTTGCTCCTTTTATGCCCTTTAAATGGACTTTTACATAAACTAATGGTGTAAAGTTCATGCTTTTTAAGCAGTATTATAGAGTTTGGACGAAACCGTTTTTACCTTCAAGGGATGCTTGCTCTTCTCTTGACAACTGTATAAAGAAAAATTATAGATAAAGAGACGAAGACTCAAAACAATGTATATGTGCACGATCCTTCGCAGTAAGGATCGTGCACATATACGTTACTGCGAAGGATCGTGCACATATACGTTTCATAACCGCAGTTCATATATATGTATTTCATATGTTTGTTGTTTGACTCAAAACAATGTTAATTAAAATCGCTACAACGAAAATGGTTTACGCCAAGACAACATTAGGAGAGTATTAAAGTAAACTGAACACGGAGTCGCCAAAAGCTTCTAATAAACAACTTCGTTGCGTGTCGCAAGTAATCTATTGGTACTGATCTGTTTCCGGCTCTCTGTGATTGGTTTAGAGAACTTCCGCTACACTCTCAACCAATCACGAGCAAGACTTCACTCGCATTTTCCCGCGCTTCAGGCAAAAGTAACTTCGTTGCGTGTTGCAAGTAATCCATTAGGTTTGATCTGTTTCCGGGTGTATGTGATTGGTTTAGAAAACTTCCGCTACCCTCTCGACCACAAGCAAGACTTTCTCGTGTTTTCCTGCGCCTCAGGCAGTCTGTACGTGTCGCCTCTGTGTCCTCATTGGCTTGAATGGTTTCGCTGTTTTTATTGGACGTATTTATTCCTTTTGTTTTGGTTTTGCGAAAAGCAATTAAAATGCGCCATGATTCAAAATACCTTGGCAAGAGTTTCCCTGTGATTTTGTTGTTCAATTCGTAGCAGCTCCTTGACCCGTTCAAGCTCATGCTGTAGATGTTTCTCGCTTTCTTTCAGAGCCACAAGCTCTTGGATATTCGCGTGTCGACGGAAATCTTTCTCGTCCTTATGTGCACGATCCTAAAGGGGAAAAAAGATATTAGTATCAATAAGTTCTCTCCTTTGTAACTCTGCTGATCGTGATGTAAATGAATTTACAAGTGTTGTTGCGAAAAAAACCAAAAAAAAAAACCAAACAAAAAAAACACAGTAGTGGGTCTCATATTCTAGCTTATAGCAGGTAAAAGTGCGAAAGAGCTACACAACTACGCCTAACCTGCATAAAGGTGTCTTATCAGTGG